ACCACAATCCCAGCCCACATTTCTTCTTTTGAAAAATCTGTTTAGTCACTTTTGCCCATTTCTTGACTGGGTTATTTGGTTTTTGTTTGCTTTTGTTTTTTTGTTTGTTTGTTTGTTTTGTTCTGTTGTTCAATATTTTTGTTCCTTGTATATTCTGGATGTTAATCCCCTGTCAGAGGAGTAGGTGGAAAAGATTTTCTCTCATCCCGAAGGCTGTCTCTTCGCACTTAATCATTTCTTTTGCTGCATTATACAAAGAATTCTTAAAGATCAATAATAAGAGAACAAAAAAAAATACCATAAAAATATAGCCAAAGACCTAAACAAACACTTAAACAAATACAGACAAATGGCAAGTAAAAAAGTAAAAGTACACTCCGCATCCTAAAATCATCCAGGAAAAACAAAACAGTGACACACATCTACACGCCTTTTTGAACAGCCAAAATCCAGAAAATTGACAATGCCGAATATTGGCAAAAATGTAGAGAAACTGGAACTCTCATTCATTCTTGACGGGAATGCAAAATGGTACAGCTACTTACGAAGACAATCTGGTGGTTTCTTATAAAATTAAAAATACCTTACCATGGGGCTGGGGCTAGTGCTCGCCTAGCACACGTGAGGCACTGAGTTCAATCCTCAGCACCACATAAAAATAAATAAATAAAGATATTGTGTCCATCTAAAAAATAAATATTAAAAAAAAAAAAAAAAACTCTTACTATATGATGCAGCAATTAAATTGTGTCCCTTGGCATTCATCCAAGGAGTCAAAACTGCACACAAAAGGCTACACATGTTTACAAGAGCATAATTCATAGTTGTCAAAACCTGAAAGCATCCAAGATTCCTTTTAGTAAACAGGATGGTAAATAAACTGTGGCACATCTATACTACATAATGTTATTCAATAATAAAAGGAAAATCATAAAAAGACATGAACGAAACTTAAATGCACATTACCGAGTGAAATAGGCAAATCTGAACAAGCTACATACTATATAAATTCCAATTTTATGACATTCCAAAAAGATAAAAAATATACAGATGATATAAAGAACAGTAGCTGCCAAAGGGTTAAGAGAGAGTAAGGGATTAAAATGTGAGAGCACAGAAAATTTTTAGGGGAATAAAACTACTCTATATATTACTATGATGGTACATGTCATTGTACATTTGCCCAAAGCCATACAATGTACAACACCACAAATGAACCTTAATATAGGCTATGGACTCTAGTGAATGATGAAGATGTGTCAATGTACATTCATCATTGGTAAATTAAACATGGACCATTCTGGTGGAAGATGTTCATAGTGAAAGAGGCTGTCTGTGTTGTGAGGACAGTAGTTGTTAGAAATCTCTCTACCTTCCAGTTATTTTGCTTTGAAACTGAAAATGCTCTAAAAATTAAACCCTGTTACTATGGGGCATGGTGGTGGACACCTATAACTCCAGCTATTCAGGAGGCTGAGGAAGGAAGATCCCAAATTTGAAGCCAACTTGGGAAACTTTGCAAGACATTTTCTCAAAAGAGCTGGGGATTTAGCTCAGTGGTAGAGAGCCCCTAGGTTAAATTGTCAGTACCACATAAACACACACATACATACATACATATGTGCATACGTACAAATGTACATACACACATACACTTTTTTAAAGCCTATTTTGAAAATGTTCACCCATATTCAGAATGTTGCCTTATATGGAAACAAGGTCTTTGTCAATATAGTAAAGTTAAGATGCCGTTATTCTGGATTAAGATGGACCCTAAATCCAATGACTGATGTCCCTATATGGACAGAGATTAGAAACAGGTACACAGAGAAGGTAATGGTGGAGGCAGAGACTGGAGTGATACATCTATAAACAAAAAGGACTGCCAGCAACCAACAGAAGCTAGAAAGTGACAGGAATGGACTTTTTCCTTAGAGCCTTTAGAAAGAATATAGCTCTGCTGACACCTGGTTTCACACTCCCAGATGCCAGAAATATGAAAAAATAAAAATTTCTATACTTTTTACCCACCAGTTTATGGTACTTGTTCATAGAGAGCCTAACAAACCAATATAATCTACCCCACAGACTCATCTCTAAATCATCCAAAAAGCACAAATTCTCGAATAGGTACTTTCTAACGCCCTCTTACTAAGATGCCCCTCGACTCCCCATGGGTATGTTCTCCCATGACTGCAAAATAAACCCCGCTTGTTTAACTTACAGATGTGCTCCTGGTGGTCTCTGGGTAAAGGGCATACACAGCAGTAGAATCTTCAAAGGTCTCAAATCACAAACTCTCCCTGTGCCCCAGAGAAGCCCCTCAATGCCCACACATTCAACACTTAATAAGCCTCAAGGCTTTTAACCACAAAAAGAAAAAGAAAAAACAAGTTTAATATGCCCGTGTTCATTTTCATGAAGAAGCCACCAGATCGTAAGCACCCTGTGGTTAGTGACCACGTTTGTCTTATTTACCAAGTACTCTCATTCCTCAGCACAGATCCTGGAACAAGGTCAACTAGTAGATAAAATTGTTTTCTAAACCACTACATGAACCAACATTGCCAATCTTACCTAGTGAGACCAGGTTCTGGAAGGTTTCCAGCATCACATCTCTGTAGAGGCTCCTCTGAGCAAGATCCAGCAAAGCCCACTCCTGCTGGGTAAAGTCCACAGCCACATCCTCAAAGGTCACCGAGTCCTAAAAGATGCCACAAATTCAGTTCAGAAAGGTACAATTCCTCCAGTGTGTGCGAGATGATGGGTGAGGCTGACAGCACTGGGGACCTGAGAATCAATTCAGGGGAGGTTCAGAAGATTCTGTGGACTCCCCAAGTCTATGGCAGGACTCCGTCAACAGATCTCTTTCCCTTTCTACCCACACATACTTAATGACTGAACAAATCCTGTCTAAAAGCCAAAATACTTCTAAAATACTACATTAGTCTCTTTGCAGTTGATGGTAATGAAATAAGAAAAAAAAAAATAAAAGTTATTTTCCTTCGAACCTGCATAGAACACTGGATATTAGGTATGTGGGAAATTTTCCACACACATCAAGCAGTTCTCCAACAGACACTAGCTAGGTTTCCTGTTATTCAATAACATTCTTACACTATCTACATGGACAGCTTCATCCCACAGGTTGAGGGCTCAGTCCCACAAAAATTCCCCATTCTTCAAACAACACAACAACTAGTACATTGTCATTTATATTTCTGACCAAATGGCTACATCTCAGGGTCCCCACTGTACCTTCCTTGAGTTGGGTAATATGCTGGGATGGCCTTCAGAATCTATGCAAACACTTCCTTGTGCTTATGGTTTGTTATATATACAGAGAACTATCCAGATAAAGAAATATATATATATATATATGGCATAGCAGGGTAGGAAAAGCTGCAGAACTTCCATGCCTATTGGGGTGCCTCATACCAGGAACCTCTACATATTCAGCCATACAGAAGCTCCCTAAATTCATTCTTTTTGGTTCTCACAAAGGCTTTACTAGAAAGCATGACTAATTTAAATTAGCAATTTAAATAATCATTTTAACCTTCAGTACCTCTCAACTTCAAGGTTAAGGGATAGGGCTGAAGAGTCAAGCATACCTTAGTTCTTCTGGACCAGCAGTCATCCTGAGGCTATCTGTCCTGGTCAACAGTCATCATACAAAGCTACTCTTATCAGTCCAGACATTTGAAGGGTTTTAGGAACTCTATGCCAGGATATGGGACCAAGACCACATATTGTACAATATCATATTATTCCTTATTCAGAAATTCTCCCTTATTCAAGAATAACTTCACCTGCTACTATATTCCTATTAAGGCATTGAGCACAACATCAAACTCAGGTTTAAATCTTGATGAGGATTTAATGAATGAAAACACAGAAAATGAATGGGAACTTTTCCTTTTTTCCCCCCTCACAATCCTGAGAGGCCCAAGAGCCTGCACGTCTTTCAAGTCAGGCCCACAGCTGGCTCTGTTTTACAGTATTGTGGCCTGGGCTCACCAAACTATAGCACATGCACTTACTCTAGCCTATCACCTACTTATGTAAGTAAAGTTTTATTGCAATACAATAAAACATTTGTTTATGTTCCTCTATGAATATTTTTGTATTAAAATGACAATTTCCTTGTAATAGAAATTCTATGACCTTCAAAACCTAAAATACTTACCATGTGATCGATAAAAAAAAAAAAAAAAAGCAGATTGCTAACCTGTGCTCTAAAATAGCAGCAGGATATCAAGTGAAATATTCTTTTAGAGCATTATACGTTTTACTTACCTGCATCATACTTTTCTGTAACCCAACACTTATTCTTTCTTCCTCCATGTCACCTTCATAAAGAAAAGTAAGACATTGAGAAGTTATATAAGTAAGACAGAAGCTGACATGGGAATCCAACCCTCCAGAGAATCCCCATATTCATGAGCCTGGATATTGTAGCACATAAATTACCAGTGAAATCTCAAAACACATATCACGACCCCCAAACAAATGCAAACTGAACTTGTGTGAAACTGGAACAATCCTTTCTCCCCTAGAGATATAAAACAACACTCTTATCCTTGTCAATGATACAAAAGAGGTTAATAGTAACATTTTATTAGTAAATTAACTCAAGTCTTAAGAACATCTGGCTGTCCATTTCCCCATAACAAAAAGCATAAAATGTATCAAGTGGTGCCTTCAACCCTAAGAATATATATTCCCTGACTCATATCTAAGAAAGCACTAATTTATTTAAACACTAGGCTTCTTGGGGCTCCTTGACCAACATTTTTACTTGTTTACCATTTTACAGGATAATAGGCATTACTACAAAGCCCTGAACACTGCTGTCATCCCAACCCCACCCAATGGGCTCCAAAAAACCTAATTTCTGAGAAAGAGAATCAACCTATTTGTTATGGTTTGAATCTGGGATGTCTTTCAAAGCCTCATGTGTTGAAGGCTTGGTCTCCAGTGCTGCAGTGTTCAGAGTTTCAGCTTGGGGGAAGCGACTGGATTATAAGGGGTCTGACTTCATCAGTGGATTAATCCATTTTATGGATTAGGAGTTTGAATGGACTACTGGGAGGTAACAGGAACTATAAGAGGTAGAATCTAGAAGAGAAGAGAAAGAGGAAAAGGAAGAAGTAGTAGAAGTGGCAGAGGTGGTGGTGGTGGTGGGTGGTGATGGTAGTGGTAGAAGAGGAGGAGGAGGAAGAAGAAAATTTCATTGTATCCAGTCATTAAAAGAATCATATTTAAAACATGCACAAGGAAACAGAAGTTGCAAATTGTTTTACAGAAAGTTTCACAAAATTAGTAGGAAATTCATAATTCCAGTGTAGAGGAAGGTAATTTCCTACTTCTAACACCAGAAGGGTACAACTAAAAAATATGCCAGATCACATACAAAGTACAAATAATACAAAAGTATTGGTAACAGTTGAGAAATGAACAATAAGTATAAATCATAATTTAAGTTAATTTCATCCTAGGAATGACGGATGCTTAAAAACTGAATCACTAAAAAAATAAAAAAGAATAAAACTGAATCACTGGGACTCAGTGGTATGGTGCCTTACTAGCGCTGAGTCCTTGGATTCAATCCCAGCACCACAAGAATAAAATAAACAAAAATTGAATCACTGATTAATGAAATTCACAGTATTCATAGAAAAGTTATTTGACATATTCCCTTAGACACAAAGCAATGACTAATCTATTTCAGTGTACATTGCTAATAATAATTTAGGCCATTAGAAAGGATTAGATTTTATACGTTAAAAAATGCAAACATTCTATTTAATAGTGAAATACTGATTAATTTTCTCTGAAATCAGGAGCAAGGCAAGAATGAAAATTATATGCTAATCTCCATTCAGCTGGGAGTCCTGGCAAGTGCAGTAATTAGAAACAAAAAAATGGAAAACACAAAGATTTAGGAGGAAAAAAAATTCAAACTGGCACATTTTCTGTGCAAAATTGAAAGAATCTATAAATAAGTGACCAAGCTTTTTTTTTTTTTTTTCCCCCCCTCCCTGAATTTTGCAGTACTAGGAATTGAAGCCAGGGGCACTCTACCACTGAAGTACACCCCCAGTCCCTCTAATTTTTTGTGTAGAGATAGGGCCTGCCTAAATTGCTCAGGCTGCCCTTGAACTTGGGATCAAGTTCTACCTCAGCCTCAAGTAGCTGGGATTACAGGTGTACACCACCGCGCCAGGCTAAAATGTATCACTTTATTAAGGATGAAATGCACTTGCCCAGGAGAGGGGTTAACAGTATTTTAAAATCAGCTCCCTCTTGTGTATCTGAATGCAATGTGTCAAACATGCCCAGGGCCCGGGGAACTCTCAGACCCGCGCTGGACAGTGAGCGAGGCCCAGGGGCAGCGGGCCGAGCTCACCCCTGGCTGGGTGTGTGCAGACCAGCAGACCTGCACGAGGTTCCGGACCGGGACCCCGACGCAGGCGAAGCCTCTGCTCTCCGCAAGGAGAGGCCGCGGGGCTCCCCAGCTCAGGCCTGCAGGAGACTCGCCCATCGCTGGCGCAGCCCGAAGTCGCTGCTGCGGTTACCAGGATGAGCGCGGCGCCCGCGGAGCCACGGGGCTCTGGGCCCGCGCGGCTGAAGGGGGCCCCGGGATGGCGGGCGAGCGGAAGCCAGCCTTCCGCCTCCAGCCGCCGATACCTGGATGGCGCGGGGCGGGACGGATAAAATGCGGCGGCGGAAGAGAGGAAGCCAGCCTTCCGCCTCCCGCGGCCCATACCTGGATGGCTGGGGCCTGGACGGATAGGATGCGGACTGAGGCAAGAATATATCTCAGATGCGGGCTGCAGCTTAAAGTGTCATGGCGGCCACAGGCACAGTAAGCTACCTCGCGCGTGCGCGGACGCGCTCTTCTGCCGCCCGCTACCCGCCTCCTCATTCTGAGAAACGCTCTGCGTCAGGGGCGGGGCTTCGGGAGCTGGGCGTGGGGCGGAGCGGCCGGCTCAGTCCATCAGGGCACAGAACGTGCTGATTTTCCCTGGGCTTGTAGGTAAAAAGAGAACCAGAACCGTGGGCGAGGCTGGGGAGGGACCAGGCTAGGCCGGCGGAGTGGACTCAGGTGAGACCAGATCAAGGGGCGTGAATTTTAATATTCCAGAGGTTGAGTCTAAGAGGGGACCTGGTTGCCAAGGGAGACCCCTGGAAATTCCTAGAGGCAGGGCTGAGGTTAGAGCCTGCCACACAGGTTCCCTAAGACCCAGGAGTAGGATGCTCATCAAATGCATTAATACCCTTGCTAGAGCCCTGTCCACAGGCCATCATACTTAAAACTCTGAGTCTACCAACCTGTGCGATAAACTCTTTTCCATTGATTCAGTCCTTTAGGTCTTTACTTTTCCCTTTCATTGTTTTATTGACTATTGCTCTGCTAGAGGAAAGCTGTTGAAAAGTATTTAATTAGGTCCTTCTATCTGGAAACCTTGCTGAACTTTAATATCTGTAAGTTCGTTATTTTGGACTTAAATATAAATAATATTTCCTGTGCATTTTTGTTATTATAATATTCATAAGTCATTTATTTTTCTTCTTGTTTGTGCAGGGCCTCCTAACTATAAGTCAGATAAGAAATAAGGTATTCATGTCTTGGTTAATAATAATCACCAAGGTTCCCATGTTAGCTGTAGTTTGTGGCTTTTATCAAGTCCTGTTTTGAATCTGCTTTGTGAAGACATTTTTACCAGTAGTTTTGATAAATATTATACAATATATATGAAACTATTAAGATCATAATAGTTTACTCCAACTTGATTTATGATGTCATGTCTGTAAGAAACAGACTCTCCTGTCCAAACCTAAAGAATAGATTAAGAAACAAAAGGTATAGCCAAAAAAAGCAAGGAATGTGATTTTCCTGTCCCCCGAGGCCAGGTAGGGCTGAAGGCAGATTGCTTTTTAGCAAAGAAAGCATATGGAGAATCAGTACAGTGAACTCATTTTATAGAATTATTCTCTTAACCTTGTGTTCCCACCATCTTCATCTATTTGTCCCCTTACACCTTACATCTAAGTCTGTCTGTCTCCTTGATATAGGACAGATGTGGCTGGACACCAGAAATCAGGTTTATTTTAGCTGCAGCAGTCCAGAGGAGGCTAATGCCTAAAAAGCTTTGGACCCTGAATCTGAAAATTCTTTTAGATTTATACTCAGTGGGGTGGTTACATGTCACTGGGTGGGTACATAACAGTGACTCTTTGTCCCACATTTTTTAGGCTAGACAGAGGTTTCACAAATTTTGTCTGCAAACCTGGCATTTATAAGAAAGAGGAAGCTACAAACCACAGAAAATTTTGCTGATATCCTATTGACACCCTTTGTAAAATTCTTTCTGACAAGAAAAGAAGCTTAATTATGGCAAGGGTCTTTTGGATGGGGGTAACTGGTCTGCTTCACCCTTACAAAGCAGTAAAGATTTTTATTTTCAATGCTACGGATGAGACCAATGTGTTGCACATGCTAGGCAAGTGTTCTACCACTAAGCTATACCCCTACCCCAGAACAAATTTTATTTAGGAAAACTGCAGTAGGGGAGTAGAGACCTCAGTATAGAACTGGACTCAGTTATGAATACAGCACAGATAAGTGGAAATTTATAAGCCAAGGAACATGGTGGTGGTTCTAGGTAGACATGAACAGTGGGAATATGGTGTTTAAATGATTAATTCTATATATAAGTGAAGAATATGGAAAACAACATCTCCCTAGAAAAGGGAAATGACAACCCCCAGGGCTGAGGGAGGACAATGGGTCCTGGGAGAGAAAAGGCAAACAAAGTGCCTTGTGCTCTCTCTGGTCTTTCCTCCTTTCCCAGTATCCTGGAGGGGAAGGCAAACAAATGGGCTCTGGGCTCTGGATTATTATCCCAGTAACAAAGAGTTTCAACCTTTTACAACTGTTTTCCTGAGTTAGATTTTTAACCTACACAACTAGTTTCCTGACTGTTCAGCCAACATGTCCCAAGTCTCTCATGATTAAGTCACACGAAATCTTCTGCTATGATTAACTCTCATTAAGATCTATAAAAAACAGACCTCTTTTTTAATCAGTAACCATTTTCTCCCCTAAAAATGTGCCATTCCACTACTGCTTAATAAAGACAGCTTGCTGAGCTGAGGTCCACTCCTGTTTTCAGTTATTTTTGCTTATATGAGCCTACATGCTAACTCTCAGCATGTCTTTCTTTGAAACAATTCATACAGGGCCATTCTAACTCAGCTGTGTTTTAAAAATAATAACAGTATTTGGGCTGGGGCTGTGGCTCAGTGGTAAAGCTCTTGCCTAGCATGTGTGAGGCACTGGGTTCAATTCTCAGCCCCACATAAAAATAAACATGAAAAATACAATCTGTTAATAAAAAGATAGCAGTATTTACAATCCTTGACTAACGAGCTTCTTGTTTTCAGGATGTTCTGGTCCTTGTCCTGATAGATTATGATTCTGCCTATCAGGGGAACAGAGGGTTTTTAAAGAGGTGATTCAAAGGCTACTGTCCACATTTACCTTGATGTAATTTATTTGTTAATTTGAGAGATAACCATTTCTTAAATCTTCTGGTTCCATCCCCAGAGATCTATTTACTTCATTTGTGTGATTGATGTGTGCTCAAGGACAGATAACTGGGCCTAGGATAGGAAAAGGGTAAACCTCTTTCCCCAGAAGATAGGAAAGGGAAAAGGGAGAAGAGAAAATAAAAGAAAGTCAGCTTTAAAATAAGCCTCAGTGGAAAAGCAACAAGGGATATATTCAAAACATGACATGGACCACTGTCACATTCTTTTATCTAGGGCTGAAGAGCACAGGACCCAAAACTCCTTTCTAATAAGAAAAAGAAAAGGAAATCAAATAAAAAAGCACAAGTTACACTGATCTGGGATGGATCTGGATGAAAGAGTATCTTTGACTTTACACAAACCAAAATGACTAGAGTTTCTGTTCAGTAGAAACATGCACAGTAGGGACTAAAAAATATGATACAATCCTACCATCAGTCAAAAGAGGTTGTGCTTAGTGATAAACCCAGCCTAATTTCCTCTTAAGACTGCGAACCATCTCGTCACATTTTATTTTGTGAGCCCATTTTGGCTTTACTATAAATTACTGTGATTTCTAAACTTGCTTGGAATGCCTGCCCGTGCCTTGAACTCATCCATGCCTGGATTTCCCTGACCAGATAGCAACCCTCTCTGAAACATTAGTGGTGCTTCATAAATTCTGGCTTTCCCTGGCCAGATAATGACCCTCTTGGAACCTGTAATGGTGCCTCATAAATTCTGGTGTTAGGATCTAAATTTACTCCCTAAGTGCTGGACCATTAAATCTACTACCTACCTTTGTGTTATGCTTGTAAAAATCCTGTTTTTTTGTAAGTTCTCAAGACACTTCCCCTTTTTGCAACTTTCTGTGCTATAAAGCTACACTCCTAGAGAGCTGGATGGCTGTCTACTATTCCCACAGGTTTTGGCCTGTCAGAACTATAAGCTTGCTTTAATTTGATTTAAATTGGAGTTGGTGGTCTTTTCTTTGCGTTGTGGTTTAACACTTAGGTGGGATTCTCTAGAAACCTTCCCTTCTGTCCTAATAAAAACTGAGTTCACAAAGAAGTGAGTTGTCACTCTCCTGAGAGAAAGCACTCTCTCCTGTGAGGGTATTTTCCCCTTCTTTCTCTTCTAATAAATTCTGCTATTCTCTTACTAAGTTTCACCTCTTGCTTGAAATCTTCTCATACAAAGACACGAAAGCCAAAGAATACATCGATTTCCAGAAAGATCTTATCTCAGATATCATCTTATCTCCTTATCCATTGGTTGTGTGGAGGGGAAGTCAGAAAGGAATATACTAAGAGGAAACTATCACAGGTAAAAGGGGAATTTTGGTTCAACCAACCTAACAGATTTCTTGCTAAACACAGGCCAAAGTGATCATACATCACCAAAATGTTAAAAGCTAAGAACTTAATTAGATATTGTTAAATTAAGTTTGGCCTCAAACAGCCCATGTGAAGTGGACTGTAGGTTGATGTGTAAGCAATTTGGATCTAACCTTAGCAATGGAGTCTCAGCGAATCACAGTAATCAAGTTTCAGCCAGCCACAGGCTGCCACCTGATCAGCCAATGCTCATGTGAAGCAGATGCTTCAACAACCAAGTGCATATAAGGCAAATGCTAACTGTAGCCAATCAGGTTGTTTCTGCATTTCACTTCCTTTTCTTCAGCTAAATAAAAATAAACAAATAAATATAGTGGTCAGACTTGGTTGGGGAACTCTGAATTATACCCTAATGTAATAGGTTCTTTTTTTTTTTTTTTGGTTGTAAATAGGCATAATACCTTTATTTATTTATTTATTTGGTTCTGAGAATCGAACCCAGAGCCTCACATGTGCTAATGCTCTACCACCAAGCCACAACCCCAGCCCAGAATACCTTTATTTTACTTGTGTATTTTTATGTGGTGTTGAGAATCAAACCCAGTGCCTCACATATGCTAAGCTACAGCCCCATCCCTCTCTTGTTACTCTTTTTTTTAATTGGTTGTTCAAAACATTACAAAGCTCTTGACATATCATATTTCATACATTAGATTCAAGTGGGTTATGAACTCCCATTTTTACCCCAAATACAGATCGCAGAATCACATCGGTTACACATCCACATTTTTACATAATGCCATATTAGTAACTGTTGTATTCTGCTACCTTTCCTATCCTCTACTATCCCCCCTCCCCTCCCCTCCCATCTTCTCTCTCTACTCCATCTACTGTAATTCATTTCTCTCCTTGTTTTTTTTTTCCCATTCCCCTCACAACTTCT